TATGTACATAAATTTTTGTAAGATTTTACAATTGTACAATTTTTATAAATTTAAAATCTAACAAAACATAACATGTAGCCAAACAACAATTTAAGATTTAGATTGAATTTTTATATTTAAGATTGTCTTAAGTAAGGTTTGAAGATATGTGATCATTTCATTGGCTGAACGGAATTTTAAAACAATCTAAGTTCTAAAGTGATCTCAAATATAAGAACGAATTATGAATACAATACCGGCCTTAAAATACAATTGAGTTGTGTAATATTAAGATTAAAATCTACATATTTTATTTTTTCAAAAATAGTGTTGTAGAGAATCTCATGCATAATAAATATCTACACTGAAAAAAAAATTTTGTTGAATATTGCCAAAAAAATATTCTGTTGTAGTAACTGTACATCGTTGAATGACTGAATTCTCTGTTTTGATGATTTGAATAAGCTTTATTTACATCAACAAATTATTTCGAAATATTTTAGTTATATTTATTTGAACGTATCGGACAATATATTTAGTTGGGCAAAACAAATTTTGCCTTTTTCAACCAAGTTTTTTTTTCAGTGTATACTGCAGAATAATTCCCTTTTTTTTACTTTCAACTGCGATTGTAACCGTAAAAATGCTTTATGTGGCAATTGCTCCGAAACTTTATAGCTATTTTTATCTAAAAACATACAATGGAAAAATCTGAAATCTAAATCATTGATTTCGTGACTCAAGTCTTCAAAAATATCCAAAGTCCACTTTCTATCCTTGAAAAACAGATTATTTTATACTAAAGAGCTAACAGAGTGTGTGATTATTTCTAATTGATTCACAAATAGCCAAAGATATTTTAGCAATGACAGAAAATCAGAAAAATATCTTTGAAACGATAATATTTATATATTTATTAATATACAAATATTAATAACGTATATTTTGAATTTCATACACATACACACACACACACGTATCCAAAATTACGTAATATTTTCAAAATGTTAAAAATGTTTTACCTATAATTAAAATTGCTAATCATCGATAAAATTATATAACGACGATTGAGGCTTAAAGCAAGAGATGATGCAAATAAATGCACTGCAAACAGATTTATGCAACATAAATGATGCAACATATCGTATTCATTTATGCTGTATAAAAGTAAGCGTTCGCAATTTTTTTGAATATTCATATTTGTTTCAGTAACGAATAAAAAGTACACTATGTAAACGTGATGAAGAATTGGAAAATAGAATAATTTTCTTTTCGAGAGCCTAAGATAGTTGAAATATTTTATATAAAATTGGATCAGAGATTCCATTCAACATTCCGTATGCTGTACCAAACGAGTTCCGTGACCTTCGAATTCCATTCTCTTGTTGTGTAAAGTATTGCCGACAATTTTAGATCATTTTTTTTCTTTCAAAATTTTTCGAGCAATTCGCAAAAACTATATTAAATTATCAAATTGTGATCACATATATATATGTACAGTATACATGCATGTATGCATGCAGAAACAAGATAAAAATATAATTGTTTGCACTATTCGTTAATTATTTCATCAAATATGATAATATTATATTATATAAAAATGCTTTATTTCATAAAGTAAATCTTCTGTAATGTTAATATATCGAGTATTTCTTATTTCAACGTAATAAATATAGGCGTTTTTCAACAAGCGACACAGAAGATACAGTGTATCACTTCATCTTTGTTGGTTGTCGAATGTAAACGAAGAAATGTGTTACATTATGATTAGATACTGTATTATATTCAGACTGTTATATCAGAATGTTTTCTGTCATTTCGCGGTTCTTCAGTGAAGAAAACTATACGCTTTAGTTTTGTGTTGACAACCGATTTGTTCAATTATTTCGTGCGCAGTTAAATGTGTATATATACATGGCGATCTGTTTTTAACCAAATACATATGCAACTATATTGCATATGCAACTTTCTGTCGCGTGATATTTAACTGCGTAAAATATACAATTAAATAATACAACTAAATAAAGTATTTAAGTTTTATATTTTTTAAGCTTATATATATATAACTCTTCTTATTCAAAACAAATTAAATACAATAGGTTTGTAAGATTTTGTAATAAAATAATTATTTTATTTACGAATTAATAGTTATCTAATAATATGTATAATCTAAAACTAAATTATTTATTTTACGAAAATTTGTATCTTGGTAGTGCGAAATAATTGCATATGATTATATAATAAACGCATATTATAAAATGTAGACTATATAACTTCTCATATATGTACAGGGTTTCTTAATAAGTGCAAAAAATTTTAGGAGATGATTCTTTGTCGAAAATTAAGGGGGATTTTTCATATAAACATTAAAAAGTTCTAATAAAAAATTGAATAGAGATTGCTAGTTTCATCTCCTTATAACATTACAGGAGACTAAAAAAAATATTAATAAATAACCTTTTTACTAATAGAAAATATCTATCCAATTTCATTTCTTTAACTTGTTCCAAATTTGAGAAAAAAATAAAAATCTAATTTTTACCCCGATTTTTGGAGGAATGTAACTCCACAAAGAGGGATGTAGGAGTATATGTTTATATAAAAAAATCTCTCTTAATTTTTAACAAAGAATCATCTCCTAAAATTGTTCACTTATTAAGACCCTGTATAGTAATATGCTTTATACACTGATTATTTATGAAATAGTTAATATATAAAAAAACATGTATAGGAGACACATTATTTATGTAATTTATAATAACATAATATAAATATTACGCGCGTTTTACGCGAGCGGCATATTTAAATATATTATATCATTTTTAATTTATATTTATAGAATTTTTTCTCGCAAAAAACATTTCTCATTCCGCGAAAAATTTCAATTAATAATTACTTTAATTACTTTAATTATTATAATCATTTTAATCATCATTGACGTTAAAGAAACTGCAATAATTCGTCTTTATAATGATGATAAAATGTTTATGTTGATCAATAATTGATTTTTAAATAAAAGAAATTTGTAATAAGTAGAGTTTAACGATGAATTTATTACTTCATTATATTATATTCCACGGGAAATATTAAAACAATCGAACCCAATATCATTAAGCTTTATTATGGAAATACACAAATGAATAGCAAATGCGCGTAGAAATTAATTATAGTCGAATAATTTGTTCTCTCTCTGTCTGTCTCTCTCATCCTCTCTTCTGGCTTTTATTGGGTTTGTTCCAATAAATTCCACTAATTGTGCGAACTATTATTGGTTCAGCTATAATAATGACGACCGCAAGTCTTTAAATGTAAATGTGTTGTATGTGCTTTGTGTGCGTTCTGAGATTACTTGATCGTGCATATCTTCTATACCAAAGGTTATCAAATAATAACATAATACTCATTTCAGCAACAGTATTGAATGACTGATTTGAAATATAGACAAAGAAAAAATGATTCTTCCGTATAACAAGATCTTTGTTATGCGTGACAACAGTAAATTTTATATATTTGTCTACATGTGTATTAAGATTAATTACATAGAATTGAAGAGAAGTTACGAATTGGAACATGAAGTTATAAATTAAATTGTCTAGAGAAAATATAACCATCATACAATAGAATTCAATGAAAATCGGATTAGGAAGTTATATAAATTTTTGCGTTTAGAATCAGATACGCTGCAAAGTAATCATTTTCTGCCTATTGAGGACAATTATAATTCATTATATTCGCTTATCGCTTATTCACTCCATTTAAATTATATTGAATTATATGAAGATATGGAAGGACGACTCAAGAAGTTTGAGAACTCCTGCTTTTGTAGGTATTCTCATATAACTTTACGCTTAAGAACCTATTCTCTGCTATATAATTGGACCATAATAGAATAAGCTCAATTAGTCGAATTTATTGGAATAAATCCAATTGTGAGTTTTGTAATATCACGTTATTTGCAATATGGTACAATGATTTATTGCGTAGTAATCTATACATATGAAATAAAATTGCGATCATCTTCGTCGAATTTATTGTATGTTAAATTATTTGTAATGTAGGATTATCCTGTTGTTCCGTGATTTATGGAATACTCGGAAAAATAAGAATGACATTACAGTTTGTATGAATGTACTATCCTACGTCACGTAATTAAATGTAAATAAATGATAATTACGCTATATAATGCAATAACCTTTTGTGCAATCCTGTGCAGCTTTCGCTATACAATTTTGTGCGTATTATTTCGAAATTGTGATTCATGATGTTTTTACGTTTCATAAAAATTTATAAATTTTTACTTAAAAAGTGACACTGTGTCATTTTCTGATAAGATAAACAGACATCGGTTAAGCGGGGACTTCGCACTAATGATTATTTGTTATATTTAATCATTAACATATAATCGCTATACAGTACTTTGCTTTTAACTTTTGTTTTTGACCGGAAAACCTAATAATTATTCAATTCTTTTTATCACTTGTTTACTTTCATGAGTCAATTTATGATGTGTGAAAAAGTTCATGTGTCATGTGTTATCAAAAATACACTGCAAAATGTGTTATCAAAAATACAATTTATTTAAGAATTATAGTTTATCATCTTTATAAAACGCGAGTTACGTAATAGGTGACAAAAAACAGAAATCAAATTAAATTGAAATTACAAATGAAAATAGTTATATTAAATCACTGGAAAGAAATAAAAATAGAAAAAAATTTTATTTATTATACAGCCTAAAAATTAAATCTGACATTTAATTTTTTATCAAAAATTTGTCAATAGATTTAATTGAATTATATAAAAAGAATTGATTATAAGAGAGTTGAGTTATATAAAAAATTAATTTATAGAAAAAAATTTATCGACAAAATTTCATCAAAATTTTACACAAATTTAAACAAATGACACGTAATGGAGATTAGATAATGAGTCTCTCATATATCATGTCACCTGTAGATATGTGACGCAACGAATATCTACGCTGTGCGCGCACATATAAAAGCGATACCTATACTACTTACCATCTGCTTTAAGATCGACGCCATCCTGAATGGGGATGAGCCACAAGGGGAAGATGCCGGTGAGGCCGACCACGGTGCTACCCAATAAAGAGAATATCCACGGATTGTAGGAGAAATATCCGATCATCTCGTGCCATGAAGACCACGCGTCCGTTCCTCCCAGAATGTCATACGGAAAAAATCCCGCCTCCGTGCAGTTGGGAGAGCACGCGTATGACGCAGCAGCCATGTTTGTTGTTGCGTGTTCCTCTCTTTCTCTCTTTCGGTCAAGATCCTCGTGTTAACGCGAGCAGGAACGCGAGAATCGACGTCAAGACCTCGAGGTCCCTCGTGAATCGACCTTGAAAACTATGCGTTGACAAATGCTGCAAAGCCGGTGATCGAATCGTATCGCCGCTCTTTCCGGAGCTAACCTCACCACGGGACGTACGGGAAGCCGTTATAAGAAGACTTATACCGAGTCGTGCTGTATCGAGGAAGATGTTTATCGCTAACGATGACGCGCGTCGTAGTCCAAATTATGATATAGAGATAGATTTTGGCGCGATGCCCTCGTCATATGTGCCTATGTACATACGTCTCTGCGTTGCAGATCGGTCCGCGCGACGACGGTGAAAAATCGTGGTCGATGAGAAGCTTGGAAAAATCGTAAAAACGATCGCCGAGCGACCGGCTAGCCTACACTGAGGACTGAGCACGGACGCTTGCAATCGAGACGCCGCCGCTATCCGCCGCCTCGTCGAATTGCTACGGACCGTCGTTATTTCATAGCGCTTGGTCGACGCAAAGCCACCGTCAACGCCGTGGCGATTAACGCGTGATGACAGCGATCTCGGGGACGCACGATGCGTGCGTCCTCTCCGTTTATCTACTTCCGTACTCGATTAACTCGTAAAAACGTTCTTTCGTACTCTGCTCCTTGTCACGTGGAAAACTATCGACAACGCTTGCCCTACCGCGATAACTCAACGACTGACGCGCGCTGCGCCGTACGTCCCTTTATAACCACGCTCGCGCATGCGCGACAACAAAACGGACCGAGAGATCAGCGCGCGCTTGAACGAGACGAACCGATGAACGCACAAAGAGGGAACTAAAAGACGGAGTAGCGTGATAAGATGTCAGTTACAAAGAAAGATAAAATAAAGAAGCGTGATCTATCGTACCCTTTTCGTTCGAAGTCAGTTGCTACTTTTCGAACGGAGATATGTGTTTCTCAAGATACGATTTCTCAAGGTCGATCTCAAATTTAAATACACTGTAGCGCTCTCCGTTTGTTTCTATCTTTAGAAACGCACGGAAAGACGATTGAATCACGGTTTCACACAAAGATAATTTTTTTCGAAATTTTGATACCATCTTGGACACGAAGAACGCGCGTGTCTCACGTCCCTTTGACAATGAGCATATTTTCGTACATTTGCATGATTTTTCGTTTGCGGCCCTATATATATCCTATATCTGTGATAATCGATTATTTATTATCTGCCGATAAATGATAAATTTATTTGATAGCGATTAATCGTAGATAATGTGCGATGCTTCTCTCATGATTCTAAAACGCGGAAAATAATAACTCGTGTTATCTCGTACACGCGACATATGTCAGATAATACGATGCGCACTCTGTGTCTGGAAGATACAGGGGATTACAATATATTGAAATTAAAAAATTCTATATTATTATATTTTATTTATATCTATTGTAACCGTGCAATCGTCTGAATAAAAATAGAAATCTAACGTTCGCGTATATTGCTTATAGTATTATACGATATTGATTATAGTATTATAATTATATATATATATATATATATATATATATATATATTTTAAATATATAATATTATAATGATTGTTAAATATACACATATAGGGAGCTCTGAACTTTGTCAAAACGCTTGTACCTCAAATGTAAACAAAGACAAGAGGACAAAAGAAAAAAGGAAAACAAAAACAGTATCGTGTATTTCAACGTTTTATTTATTTTGAAATTTGTTCGTTCGACGTGAACTTTACTGGTCTATTCAATTCTCAAGAGACAACGTTTACCAAAATACAAACTTTGAAAGTTTATGTCAAGAAGTCGGTGTAAGAAAAGTCTAACATGAATTTTACGATGGCTATCAGTTAGATAATGTTATATTCGCACAATTCCAAATCGTTAGAATTATTATATTGACTATGTATTGAAATAATTGAAGTTGTATACACCTTCTATGTGTATTTTTAATTTTTATAATATTATATATTTAATATACATATAATTAATATTTATTATTATTCAAGATACATTTTTGAATATCAAATACTACAAAAAATAATTAAAACTTTTGATTATTCAGAGAAATTCTAATTAAGAAACAGTATAAAAATTGTATAATACGTTCTAAAAGATATGCTTGAAAAGAATCGCGTCGAGTACAAGTAATTAAAAATTGTCGAACATGACTTATTGATAACAATTAATAAGTAAGTCAGATGAATTGATATTCTCTGATTAACTCAACTTTTTAAGTGGACATTTATATATAAAAATAATGAAAATGTGTATATGTAATAATAAACGAAAAATTCATTATTTTTTGTGATTATTATACCAACATGATAAATTACATTAATTATATATACAAATATATAGTAAAATATAATTTATCCTCATATAATCTAGTAGTTTTATTAAAAAATATTGGAAGAGAAATATGCAATAAAATGGTAAAAAATGGTATATTTATTTACAAATTTTTTGTGAGAATTTCTTTAAAAAATTCTGATAATACATATTATATCTCCATTTATAATCAAATCTTATTCTACATATGATAAACAATCTAAAAAGAATATATATTTTTTATATATTTACATCTAATCTATTAAGCATGTTGACGTATGTTTATCTAAGTAATCTTTGATCGATTTTTTTAATTTGAAAGTTATAAAATTATTACGAGTTATTATCACTTTCTCCTCGCACGCGATAATAGTCGCTATTTTTACAATTTAGTAAGCTTATATCTTTACTATTTTGCGTCTATTATTTGTTATTCGTAGATGAAAAGAGAAGAAGTATATAATTAATATATAAAGTATATAAGTATATAATTCATTACAAAAGTATTAATTTATTATATTTAATCTAGATGTTATTTTGTGGACAATCACCAAGTTATGTCAACAGACGTTACAAATGATTACGATATAAATCATACATCCGGCATAATGTTTATCGGTTTTCCAATTCATTAATTCGAAAACACTGAGATTTATGTAACATCTTATTGTTCAAGTACACGAGTAAAACTTCCTCAGTGTATATTTCACAGAAGAGATAATGAAAGATACCGAACGCTTGTGTGATCGATAATTCGATACATAAATTTCTACATGAACAATTCTTTTGTTGTGAAATCTTACAATAGATGGTTTATTATTTGTATCAAATGTTTATAGATAGTTAACTATGTGAAGAAAATCTAAAAAACCATTACAAATGTGTACAGCGAAATATTAATTTTAATAAATACATGTATTAAACACATATATATTCTCGCGTTTTTTACAATGAGATTGATTAATATTAATACACTCGTCTAAAGCATATATTATAATAAGGAATCTTAACTTTCTATTTTCAAGGGTATAGCTGCGAGAATTTGGAATTAAGCTATTTTCACGTATGACGTTACTTATACATGAATGGTTTGGAAATCAACTATCCTGCAAGAGCCGGGGAAAATCAAAATATCTCTTTTATTTATTTATATATAAAGATATAAAATATTTTTGATTATTTCGTTGGATTTTACGAGGTTTAATAGTTGATAATAGAAATTACTGGCACTATATATTTTTCCTTTCAATTTCATTATATATTTTCGATTTGTTAAATCATGACATCAATATAAAAATTGCATATCTTGATACATCTTGTTTAGTGTGACTTTAATTAATCATGTTGTAGACGGCAGGATGCCAAGGGTTTTCATTTGGACCTCGGTCAACGAGGAAGTTGCCATTGATAACGTCGAATACTTGATAGTCGCAATCTCATGAATGTTTGAGAGAAAAAAATTTTTCCAAAAAATTTTCTGAAACTTACGAAGTAAAAATAATTATCTAAATATATTTTTCATGAAATTTTTTTTATTTGGGTGGAATAGCAGGTGGAAAATTAAAAATTAAACACATTTCTTTAGTAGATTTGCATAAAAATATTTAAAAAATAACTTTGAAAATTATGAATATAAAAAAAGATAGATTATAGTTTTCAAATTGTATTACAAATTTGACAGACAGAAAACAAAAAAGAGGAAATCATGTCTTTCATCTTGTAAAATAACTGTATACATTATATGAATCATCAGTATGTATCAGTTACATCTTTGGCAGCTTTCAGGTTTTATAAGAGAAGAAATATTCTACGGAGTCGCAATAAATTGTTAAATAGTAGGCATCCTAACTTGATTTTACTTGATAAAATATATTTATATATAATGAAAAATATTAATAAAAATATAATTTACCAAGTTGTTCGATTTCAATAAAACTTTTGATTTTTTCTATTATATTTATTTTTCATACTTTAAAGAAAATTGAAGAAATAACGCCCCTATTATAAAATATATTCAATAATATAATTACGTATATTTAAATTCATGTGTATGATATAAAATTAATCAGTTTCTGTCTAAAGTTATGAACAAAATTTGGCAGCATGCTCATGGACAAAAGGAACAGATTCGTGCGACTGGTCCATTATCTTACTTCTATGATGTAAAAGTACGTAAGACTTTCTCTCAAGTTTAACAGACCGTAACATATAAAAGATATACCGCCTCTTCGCTCGAATGATTCGTCCGCACGAAATGCTTATGCTCGCGGAGCACTCCAGCGTCTATTTTCAGAAAGCTACGAAAGAGAGAGAGAAAGAGACAGAAAAACACAGGATTATTTTAGTTGCAATTTTTCTCCTCTGATCCGCAGAACGCCGGTGGACGTCTACGCGAATATCACGACGATGACTGAGTATGCTACTTTTCGCCCATCGACAACGATCGCGCTCGTTCTCGACTAATGACCTAAATGCATGAAAAAGTGAATCGCATCAAAGTTAGAAATTTGAATCTAACGAAATTTCGTGACGGTGACAACGATTGCGAGAGAACAACTATTTACAAAATGTGAAAATGCAAATTAATGTGCTTGACGATAGTGAAAAATTTATGCAAAAACCAAGAACATGCATTTCTCCAAACGTAATATAATTTAAATAATATTTATAAAATATCTTCTTTATATACAAAAAGCTACACTTCTCAATGTGTACGAATTTATATTTCAAGTGTCGTGTGAGGATTTTTATAACAAATATGCACAGACTGCGATATATCATTTTTCGATTCTTTCTAAAATAATATGTGCAAATTGCATTTGTCCGTTTGCATAATTAATAAATCATTAGGAAACGTTTCTTATATATTGTATGCGTTCATTATTACTAGGTATTTCACAAAATAACAGCGTAAAAATTGTCTTCTGCTTCGCATCTTCGTTTTTCTACTATTTCCAACTAAGGATGTCTTTTTAATCGATTGTCTCGTCTTCATAATTTCGTCATCATGGACATACGAAGAATGTCGAATTGGAATGTCTTGAGCGTGGAGGCTGCGATGCAACAACTCAACGCCTTCGAAGGAGATGATCCTGAAAAGAGAATAAGGCGTCCCAATACGGTAAGCCAAGTTACTTTTGCAATATTTAGTGATCAGTTTTAGATTTCAGTAAAAACAGAAAGATAATAAAATTATTGCATGTGTAACTTTACGAAACAATAAATTTCCTACTATAATTTAAATACGTATTAGAACTTATCTCTTTCGAGAGTATTTTGATTCGTTTTAAAAATAAAAATTTCGAAAATAATTCGTTATTTATAAATGTATTTGAGAGGACTTTCATTCCACAAAAAATACTCTCAAATCGCAGATTCAAAAAATCAAGCATCGATTTTCAAAGCGGTCAAGTTTGAATATGCAATACGTTTGCATCTTAAAATACGTGAAGATTCGATATCGATATATATATATAAATTTTTCATTTAAATCTTAGGAAGCGAATCGATCCTCATAAATGTGCACAGCTATTCGGCGAATACAGTTCAGACCTAGAGAAATTTTGTGATGTAAATATCGGCGCTTGCTCGTGTTTCTTTTTCACATAGCGAGTGCCACATCAATACGTTGGGGAATGTCAATAGGTCTTTCCACTTTGGCCTGTTGCCTACTTGCCTGTCTGCCTTTATTTATAACTAATTAAAGTAGACCCAGTTGCAAATGCTGACTCTCCAAAGACGGTCAAATGGCGAGCCGCTCGATAAATTAGGGCCAATTTTCGGTTTTTCCAGCTCAAACGATACATTTTACCAAAAAGTGTGAAGCGAAAATTTGCATGAGTAAAAATTTTTAATTTTTATAATAGTATCTCGTATGATTCTTTGGTATCGTTCTTTGTTCATAAGTTGTTTGAGCTCTAATAATGACCACTTGGACGCAATTAGCCGTGAAAAATGTCAGCGCAATATCCAAGGAAGAATTTAGCACAAGGCATCGAGGAAAATCGACGGTAAACTTTAATCATCTAAATCAATTATTATAAGTTTTTAAAAAAATTATTTTTATTGTGATTAATATTTTAAAGGACAATAAAAAATTATTAGTATTTTAAAGGATAGTAATGAATTTTCTCTTAATATTTTTAGAAATTAAATATTTTTTTTGTATTAAAATGATATACGAGAAAGAGACTATATGTCCATTTTCTAAAATTATATTATTGTAAAACAACATTTCTATTGTATTCTTATGCATTTTTTGCGTAATAAATTTTATTGTTAAATTTTTTATTATTATCTATTACATGTATTATATACGTCGAGAGATTATAATTTAAGAATTAATAATTAATAATTAAATCAAGATCTTTTAAAACAAGAGATTCGATCTTATTTTAATAAAATTATGATTATAAACCTGTGTTTCAAAATATATTACAAATTACGAGTAACTTTTTTAGATTTTAATACACACACACACACACACACACACACACATATATATATATATATATATATATGTACGCATGCGTGTGTGTATATAATAATTAAATATGTATTATAGATTCTAAATATCTACTCTATAACATTTTTAATATAACTAATATAATAAGCAATAACAAAAAAAGGAAACTTTTCAAACAAAGACAAAGATGCAATATACAACATATGTATATGCATGATATGTATGTGTGTATTCTATTTGATTTTATTTATTTTCTTAAACAATAGATATTCTAATACACAATAGAATCTGGCAGCTAATTTCTATTCTTTTCGAAAAAGATTTTTAAAGTTTAAATTTTATTTAGTATTGTTTTGTTATCTGTACTCTATAATTAATGACATAAATATTTTAATATATTTTATTGAGGCAATCACGAGAGATATTATATAACAACTCAAAATGTCTTAATTAGAAAATATCTAAATTTCTTAGGTAATTCATTTCCTAAGTCATTAACTTCGTCGGTTAACACAAAACTTAAACGCCTCAATCATAACGATATATGCGTAACCTGTTGCTAGTAGTTCATTAAGTATATTACATTGAAATCGTGCCAGTTATTATGCTGAAAGAAATTAGAAATACTATTTCCCATATAACCTTTATTTCTTATAAATATAATTATATATATATATATATATATATATATATATATATAATATGGATATATATATAAATATTATACATATATCCATATTATATATTTTTATTAAAAAAGCAATGTTTTTTTTTGGAAAAGAAAAAAATATATATACGTACATACATACACACACATACATACATGCAATATTTGTAAAAAAAACTTTTGTTACAAATGTTACCTAGAATGCAAGGAAGCAAGGGAGGGAGGTCTTAACGCTTTAATGACGGTTTTATCATGTTTGTTGCTGGTGAATAATAATAATAATAATAATAAATATTAAATTAATGTATATTAATTATTTTATTTAATTTAATTTTATATGTATATAAATTCATTAATTTTGCTTTTTAATAAAAGAAGAAAGGAAGCATAAATATTATATTCCAATTTATTGAAACTATTTTAACTGTGACAAAAGCAAGAATAATAAAATCGAAGAAATTGCATATTTTGAAAATGCTTTCCTCATTACTGTGACATTTATTTAATAAAAATAGATAAATAACTTTATTGTACGACATGAAGAAATTTTGGCAACCAATTCTGTATTTAATATTTTTTTGGCAGAAATTATATGACATATAAATGCACAAGAATTTGACAAAAATAAACCAATAAGAAGTGTGTTGCAAGAGAATTTTTTTTTCTTAGCAATTTATTGGCAATTTTAAAGATTTAAAATGTAAAAATCTGTGACGTACAGTGATCGAATAAAATCGGATATTTTGAATCTGGAGACTCATTATCAGGAAATAAATTTCATGAAGAATGTAAAACTTGTATCCCGGCGTTTTGATGTAACCAGGGTTTAAAATAAAGTACAGGCAAGCCTTCCAAGTCGTATATTTAGGGCGACGCGCAAGCGTGATCCGATTGAAAGCACAGAAGACTTGTAGTTTGAGCTTCCTCGAATTCTGCTTCGTGTCGTGATTCTAATAAACCGCGTGTAGCCGCGAATAATAATTTAGCGCGTGTGTTTCCGTTAAATAAATAAATTTTCCACGTTAAAAAAAAGTGCGCAAATTAAAAATTTATATCTAATATTTAGTTTGTAAAAATCATGCTGAAATAAATTGCGATATAATGATCAAGAGCAAAAAGAAAAGTGGCTTCAAATTGAGAGGAGACAGAACGGAAAATTAAACAGTATTTTTTATTGAATAAAAAAATACACTATTTATAAATTCACACACGAAAAAAAATCAATAAAAGTAAAATAAAATAAACGTTTTTATTTTAATCTAACGTTAAAAGAACCAACACCATGGATCTCGGTGGTGTAGATGTTTGGGGTCAGATTGCCCTGGAAACGTCTCAAATGTACGTTTCCGAGGGTGGTCCTGCTAAAAGTCGTACTGTAAGTTGTTGTTTAGTAGTAGTTGTAAGTTGTAATTTATTTAATGTCAATATAATATGATCTTTAATTTGCCTCTCATAAAATTATATTATCTAACAAAGTCTATTTATATCATTATTGGATTTTATAAAGTTCGATATGGATCATTTTAGTAACATTTATACACAAATTAATATATCTATATATCTACTATATTCTTTCTACGAAACTTACTTTCATTAAACTCAATTTTTCAATGTCTCTATGCAAAGACTTCGCAAAAAAATAAACTCCAGAAAAATTGATATAGCTTAATTTAGCAAGGAGAAAAGAGAAATTTAATAGTATATCTCAAGTTTAATCTATCTTGATATTGTGCTGACGTCTGAATATTACGCGTTATGATTACGCAAAGACAGTGACATGGGTAAAAAATTGTATGATTTAAATCGTGATAATATCAATTATTTATTATCTCGCAAGTTATTTAATAATCAATCAACGTATCGTTAAAAGTTTCAAAAATCACTCAATTAAAATGTATCTTATTAAAAACTTATTACGCATTAATAATTATATTTTTTTGCAGACAATAGAAAAGCTACCGGACAAAGTTCTTCTGAACGTTTTTTGCTATTTATCGCATCGCGAAATATGTAGAGTTGCTCGAGTTTGCAAACGTTGGCGACAAATTGCGTATGACACGCGTCTCTGGCAGCACGTGTCTCTAAGACCAGAAATAAGCGGGCTTCACGTGAGCTCTCTGGAAAACCTGCTACACTTAATCAGGTGACACGAGGATGTAATACGTAATTTAGCGCTTCTCATTATTTTTTTATTTTCGTGCACAAAGTTTTTAGAAACAAAGAATAAATATGATAATAATTAATTTCATAATGATAATGTTTAATTTCAGAAATAATTCACTTGCTGGATAATTCATTTGCTCTTATGTTAATTTATTAATATGTTTATTATGCAGTTTATTAAACAGTTCGATATATATGCAAATCAATATTAAAGCTGTATAAATATTTACCTGAAATGTTACTTTGTTTTAGAAGAGACATGGAAATAGGAATAAGACAGAATTAATTTTTAATTCATATGTGGAACATAGTGTAAAACAATAATAGTTTAATATTTATACTGTACATTTACAGCGTACGTTTTGGACCTTCATTGAGATATATCGAATTACCAATAGAATTGATTACACACACTGTTCTTCATGAATTAGCTAATAAGTGTCCTAATCTAACGCACATGTTATTGGATTTTTCAACTGCTATGCAACTGCACGATTTCTCGGAAATGCAAGCGTTTCCTACGAAGTTGAAATATATGTGTATTTGTCTTTCGGAAGTGATTTTTATGGAAGGCTTTATGCGAAAAATTTACAATTTCATTAATGGATTGGAGATTCTGCATTTAATTGGTTAGCGATTAAAAATAGAATTGTGTATTTTATATTATTTCACGTACTTATATACACAATATCTCTCAACATAAATAATACATGTAATCAAAATTTAAAAAAAAATATCATAAAATCTACTATTCTCTAGGAACATACGAAAAAGTCGAAGAAGAGGAAGAGGAAATTTACGAGGTAATTAATGTTCACAAACTCAAATCTGCGACGCCGAATTTAAGGGTTATCAATTTATACGGTATCAACTTCGTGGATGATTCGCATATCGACGCTTTCTCCTCAAATTGTATCCAACTAGAATGCTTAGCCGTGAATTTCTGTGCCAAAGTGACTGGTTCCACTATGAAGACTCTCTTTCAAAGGAGTAGAAGACTGACATGTCTTCTTATGCAAGGAACAAGTGAGATATCATTATCTCTGATGTCACAAATTTTTTTTTTTTAACATAACTCACTTTCTTTAGGAAATTCTTATAATCAAATTTTTAAAATATAAGTTATAACATAAGTTCATAAATATTCAAATCGATATAACTAATCTATGCAAATTTCTGATTACATAAATAAAAAAAATAGATGCAATTTTTCATCACTCTCTCCCCCTCTTTTTAAGAAAATTATTATAATATATTTTACATAGAGTTTACATATTTCACTTAAATATACGAGATATGTTAGATCTCCAGAGTGAGTACGTTATGCAAGTTGAGTGGGAAAAATCAAGCATTCAGGAACTCGACATTACCGCTACTGATCTATCTACGGAATGCTTGATCGATATGCTGACCAGGATTCCTGGCCTTCGCTTCTTGAGTGCTGGTCAACTGAATGGTTTCAATGACAATGTAATAAAAGCGTGGACAGAGGTTGGAAATCCACGAAACTTAATAGCGCTGGATCTGGATAGCTCCGATAATCTGAGCGATGACGCTTTGCATAAGTTCCTATCAAGGCACGGTCATCAGCTGTATGGCCTTGCATTATCAGGCATGCCGCATATTACCGATCAGCTGTGGCAAAATGTACTACCGATTCTCACTAATGCAAAGTGAGCATTTATAATTTTATAATTTTTATTAGCAATAATAATTTTCAATAATAATTCCAATAATAATTTCTTAAGTATATTTTACAAACAAAAATGTTAAATTCTGTTTAAATTATAGCAAATTATACATTAATTAAAAATAGCTATAATATAATCATATTTCTCATAGAATTTCAAATATTCATTTATTTATTAATTATTTTTTTTATTTACAATTAAAAATTTCTTTCTTGTTTCTATTATTATGCTAAATTGTTTATCATTTTTTATTAAAATTTTAAAAATCTTGTATGTATAATCTTATATATATTTAATATTTTAGAATACTTGTAATGGGCACTCAAGAAAGATTAGGTGTCAACGTTCACGTGGATCAGCTGATGGATGGAATTGCCAATAATTGCCTTAATTTAGAGCGTTTAGAGTTACGCTGGGATCCGGAAAATTTGCGATTTTCCGATAAAAGTCAAAAAGCTATTGATATTTTACGTGTCAAATGCATTAAATTGAGATGTTTAAGTTTAAGGTAAGATAAAAGACAAACGGAATTATAAAATGAAATAAACGGTACGCATACACGAAAAATATGATTCTGTTTCAGCGATGGGAGATACTATGAAATCGTCAAAGCAAATTTCGAGCGAGCCGACAGAATTACCGTCGTTAGAACAACTACTTGCTGCAGAGTATCAAACTATTATCTTTTGCAAAATTATAAGGATTTAATTTTTAATTGACGCGCTTTGAATATTAGCGATAGATTCTTAAATCGAGTTTTATCGCGTTCCTACTGATGAATTTAGACAAACAGTACCTAATATAAAGCTATCTGATATTTCTTTGTATACAGTAATGTAATCACATCAATAATATTAACGCGATAAGAAAATAAAATTAATAAGAGAAGATAAAGAAGGAAAATGAAGAAGATGAAGACTCATATTGTATGATAATACATTGATATAATTTAATATCACGAATATTAAATTTTTTTCTGCATTATTCTGCATATTTACTCGGTAAACTGTCCAGGAATATCCACACCTCGCAAATATTTTTTCTCTTCAGATATTAAAGCCAGATGCAGGCGTGTGATTACGAAAATCATTACGCACCTCAAAAGTACCTTTCGTACTCGAAATCTACACCAGCCGCAAAGTACGCACGAATGGTTCATGAATTATCGATTATTGGTTAATTTATTCATACCCCCGAGAAAACGACGACGACGACGACGACGACGCCGCACTGGCCACCGCTGTCGGTCGATTCGGACTTGGTCGGCCACAACACGCGAGCCGCTGCTACATTATATGTCGTGCTATAGTAGACCGAGGACCGCATCTCGGCGGTCGTCGTCGAGCTATGCCATTATTCGCATGACTCCATCAAAGAGCTGCGGATTCATCGTGCATTTCCATGTCGGACGTCGAGGCGGAAGCGGCCGAGAAACGGCTGAAAATTGTGCTCGTGGGTGACTCCGGCGCCGGCAAAGTGAGTTTCAGTCTGTCATGTCCTCGATCGAAAGTGCGCGCCAAGGTGGTTGATCCCGTTACTTCGGTGCTCGCGAAGTTCCCAAAAGATAGCTATTTACATTAACGCGTGCTGCGTCTGGCTTTAAATTTGTTTGCCGATTGCCATGGCAATGAAAACGGTCTCTCAACAGGTGACAGGTGCGAACTCCGTTATTGAAGAGTACTTTGTTCTGTGCGTAGGCAGAAAGATTGATATGTTTTCAATTTTCTTCGGCAAATATTTATTTAATTATTTGTACGGGTTTATATATCGCTCTAGAGAAATTATCAATGATAGTGTTTTACAGGTATAATTATTTTAATAATTATATGTTTTTTTCACACAATATTAATATAGTTGCGTTGCATGCTATAGATTAATGTAATGCGCGAGCTTGGATCGATGAAGCCTCTGACCGCGCGAGACTTTGCGTTTCTGGATCTAATGCAAAAACTTTCGCAAACATGCAATATCGTTTTAGTCGTCAATGAGATACGACAATAAGACCAATCGGCAAACATAAATTTTTTAATCGATAATTTTTGAATTAATGAGGCTAATATATAGGTCAAGCAGTGAATTTGTTAACATTTCAATTTTCTTTTATATCATTTCGTTGAGTGATAAATGTCACAAGTCACAAGCAAAAAAGATCGATATATTATCATAATATATTTAACATAAATAACGGAAAAAATTTACTGAAAATTAAAAATAATATACATATGTGAATTTAATCAGACATTAAATAAATTTAAGTTTACGGAGTAAATAATTCTATTAATCTTATATTATTGCTGCAATTTTGTTTTCTTCTATCAAATTGGATAATCATTGTATTAGTATCATTACATTAATTGTTTTGATTGTCAGTCGTAAAGTGATACCTGTTATTCTATCACCATACCTGTTATTCTTGATAATTGAAATTCAAGGATTCTTCTTTAGACCAGCATTGTCCAGAAGTTTTGCAACAATGATTTTACCAGACAATACGTACCTACCGCAGGCATTGACTTCTTCCTCAAAAACATCACTATCGGTTGTTACAAGAATGTCAATCTACATTTATGGGACGTCGGTGGACTCGCTCTGCATGGCAATATGTTGGACAAATATGTTTTCGGAGCACATGTAAAGTCAATTTCATTTTTTATCAAACTTTATCAAAATAAATGTCACCTCATGCATTCTTTAGATATTTCATTTGTATGCTACGATTATATATCGTAATTTTCTTATTGTGTAACTTTATCTGTATCTTTTCTATGAATTAGATTATTCTTCTGGTGTACGATGTCACGAACAGCTCGAGTTTCGATATCTTGGAAGAGTGGCTGAATCAAATAAAGAATTTTATTGATACTTATGACGAACCGCCTCTAATAGCGGTAGTAGGTAATAAATGCGATATGGAGCATCAAAGAACAGTTAAGAGAGATAAATCGCATCGATTTGCCGCGGAAAACGGATTTCCATATCACGATATGTCTGCGAGAACCGGAGAATCGGTAATTTTTCCTCTCGTAATAAAAGAACGCAGCTATCTTTCATACATTTAGATTAATATATAAAAATAAAAAAACGTATATATATAAAAAATATATATATATACATATACATTATTTTTAGGTATCTTTATGCATAGCAAATTTGGCAGCGCAGATTTTGGGTGTCCGATTGACAAGAACGGATCAAGATTTCCATAAACCTATAATTATTGCTGAAATTGGAGATACAGTAGACGTGAATTCAATACACAGAGTGGTGAAAAGAATTCCCAATAGAAAACATCCAATTGTATTCAATCCACGTTTTCCTATCTCAAAATCCGCAGTATGTGCATTACAATGATGATCATCAAATATCTTTAGAGAATATTCTTTCTGGCCGAATATAAAATACACATGAATTTAGTTAAACGCAAGAGTTAACAAAAACTGTACATATTACGCGATTGTATAGTATAGTACATTGTAATTACAATAGGCAAGTATAATTTATACATATACTATAGAACACCATATACATTTCATACGTGATGTCTCAGACAATATTTGCGATTTAACATTATACATGATACATAAATTCTATCTACTTATACAATCGTAATAGAAAATAATACATAAGAATATCGCATTTTTTACGATTGTTTCACTTGTGTAAATGTATCGAATGACATATTTGTTTATTGCACTTTTTATTTATTATGTATATTGATAATAGATAAAAGAATAAAAATTATATTTATGTAATATACGGGGCCAATGAATAAATATGATTATAGAATTTCTACCATAGATTTAAAAACAGATTTATTAATCGTATTTTTTTCGTTAATTAATAGTTACACGCGCAATATAATTATATTTTATATAACAACAATAAAAATAATTTCACATATTAATAATAATTATTACAAAATAATAATACAGCGCATAATACAATACAAAGACATGTATATATATTAAAAATTTGGAGAAGAATCTAAAATTGTGCTAGGAAGATTTGTTCAATATATTATGTCAGAGATGCATTCATCGAAAAGTTAGGAGAAACGCAATTAAAAACTTGATATAAAAAATGCTGTAAGATAAAAATTTCCAATAAAATAAAAATTTCCAATAAATTTATTAAGTAATATTTTGAAAAAATAAAAAGAAACATTTCAAAATTTTCCAATATATTAAAATATAAAAAAGAGCATTTCAAAATGTTCCAATATTTTAAAATATAGGAAAAGCATTTCAAAATATTACAACTGTCTTTATGTTTCTTTTATATTTGACAAATATTATATAAAATATTTGGACTTTTTTATAGAGTATTGCTCTGATTTTCCAAAACATATTTTTTAATTGAAAATCTTCCTTTCGTATTTTTCATAAGAACCTTTAATTTAATCTTTAATTTAAGCTAATAATATTTTGAGAGAATTTATTTAATTAGCGTAACATCGCAATTACCTGCTTATGGCACGGTTTTCTGCTTATATTAAAATTACAGATATTGCGTTAGCAACTTGAATAAATAAAAATAAAAAACGTAAAATAATGACTTTAATTAATTTACTTTATTGCCAATATCTTTTCGAAGAATGTACCACTAAAACTTAACACTATAGATTATTGTTCATAGCGACCATATTTATAAGTAGAAGACGTAAAACAAAAAAAGAGTAATCTGTGCGTACATGACTGGAGAGAACAGCTTATATGTAATGTTATATATATAATAACATTATTCAAAATTTAAAATACAATAATTTAATAAAATATAATAATATTTGTCTAAATAATACTTTCAATAAATTGTCAATAAATTAGCACATTCTAATCTTGCAAAATTATATATCATTTACAATAATATTTATTAATATTTTTTAATATTTATCAATATTACTATCTACCTCTCTTTCTATATATCTACACCGTTTATCTTAAATTGTCCAGACTAATTTTGCATTTCTTTTTAGACTTTTAGACAGTCAAGAAGAAAGAACAATTATATATATATATATATATATATATATATATATATATATATTTATATATTTATATACATGTATATTATATATATGTTTTTGAAAGCATTTTAAGATTGTAAAACTGGTGATTAAGAATATTAACTGTATTAAGAGAATATTTTTTTTTTCTAAATAATGAAATAATTTCTATCGAGATGAGTAAAATCTATTAATTTACGGACGGTGCATTTAATATGTGATTTGATTCTTCTCTTATATCAAATTACACAAGTTATCACATACTCTTTACAACGATTGTTTAAGATGTAAAATTACGAGTTTGAAACATTTATATTTCACTGATTATCCACGCCATTTTGAAAGATTAATTGCTAAGAAATTGTTCGTGTCCTTTTCTTTTATTTGTTTTAATAAAATCTCAGTCTCTTACCACATTTACCACAAAGAATATGATGAATATTTGTTCTACTTGTCCAAAGAAATTACATTTTTCACTATAAGTCAGATTTTGTGAGAGGTCTTCTTGGCCATGTATTTCTTTCTAAAAGTTTTTCCTTGGCTTCCCACAATTGATTAAGCTTTTCATTTAAAGGTGCAGTATATGTTTCTAGCCATTCTTGTATCGTATAATTGTCATAAATATCTTCCATAGCTGTACGCATTTCTTTCTCGATATACATTATTTCCATTTTATGTCTATCCAAATCAGTGACTGCACGTTCAACATAACTAGGACTTGCAAAAGAATACTTAATATTGTACGGTTTTAACCATCCTTTGTAGGTGTTATCCTGTTCCATTTTCATTACTTCTTGTGTCAAAGAATAAAGACGTAAGATGGCTGCATATATAGACATTCCGTGAAAACCGCATTTTGTCCAGCCATACTGTGGTTCTGGTATGCTCAATGAAATTACACTATCGCATTGTAAAATTTCAGATATATGACTAGGTAATTCTATAGGGAAGCCATTTAAATCAGATGCTTGTAGTACAGCTAAATTAATGGCGAGAGATGGTAGTCCAACTGGCAACAATTCGCAAAGAACACTAAAGTGATCGTATCTCTGCCATCCAGTCAACATGACACCTTTAAATGTAATTTGATTTGAATATTTATGAATAATTTCTAACCAACCTTGATGGTTCTCCATGTGATACGAAATGTCTGTGTAATATCTGTCTGGTGAAGTGGCTCCTTTGAATGCAGTTGCAACCCAGACTTGCTTCCATACTGCGGCATAACTTTCCCACAATTGATCGGTTAATGTCGTACCAGGATCAGTAGTATACTTCCAAATAACTGGTTCTATTGTCAAGTGCAAGCCTCTGTCAATGATTTCTTGTGGCGATATATCACGAAACTCATCGTCCCACATAAGTACAGTTAGTTCTGGATATTTTTCCTTAATATATTTGACTACTGTGGAGACATGATCCAGAAAGAGCTGTCGCTTACCCCATTGCTTTTTAGACATAACATCTAAACATCTTGAGCATTCTCCTATTTGATAAACTTCATCCGCACCTATATGTAGATATTTTGATGTTGGATGTGCTGATACAACTTGATTTATCATTTCATATATTAATGGAAGCGTTTTATTATACGTAGGGCACAAGACTTGCGGATAATGTGGAACTTCCCTGAAGTCTTTATACTTATCCAATTTGAGAACAAATTCCATATGACCAAAGGTTTGTATCAATGGTATAATAATTAGTTGATTATTTTTAGCTATATTTTGAATTTGTACAATATCTTTCCTGGAATAAGAATTGCCAGCGTGGATGTCCTCGATACTATCTGTAAAGGGGAACATGTCCTCGTACTCCACAAGTATACCAGTGGCTCCTAACTTCCGCAACAAAGGAAACAGATAGTTATAATAGCTCATCCTTGGCGGAGCACCTTTCAAGTCTAGATGAACAATCTTGTGGCCCTTGAACAACGGAATGCCGTCTGCAAACGATTTATTGTGAGTTAACTCGTTAAACAGTCTGTTCCTACCATTTTTCAAATCTCTCATCGTCTGAACTTGCTGCCTACCGGCAGGGTTGTCCGTGAGTTCACCTGGAGAATACAGATCCTCTGCTCTCAGCCGAGTGCCAATCTTGCCTGACGATATCTCATCAATCTCGTTACTCAGTATGTGATATATGACAATCAGCAAGATGAAGCTGATGGTCACGATGACCATCAACGAGGCTCGACCTCGTAGACGCGTCATGATGTCAGCGGGAAAATCCGCGTTCTAAACTTCGAAAGTTAGAATTGTCGCGAAATTATCGCGATGGCTGGTCCATCATTCGCTTGACCTCGCCAATAAAAACTGAGACTTCAGGTGTGATCACTGCCGAGCAACGAGAGAAACGTAAGTAAACTCCGCGTTCCTCGTCGAGTCGTTGTAAAACGCTCGCATCCCCGCCTCGCAGACTCGTTCGTCGTGTTATAATGTGTTTTGCAATGGATTACGCGCAGTGATTTTGCAAGGAAGATCCAGGATAAACATGGGACGAGATGAATTTTTGTCGAGGATACAATTATCGAATCGTTCTCGCGGATAGAAGAGCGAGAATGATTTGTGATGGTCGCAGTGTCAATCGGACAAGCGCAATGTAAATTCGCACGCGCGACCTGTCGGTATCGCCAAGAGATGTTTCTCACTGTGAATGCGTTCGCGATGATCCGTGAAATCCGCACAATAGCGTGACGATAATTATTGATTCTTACATTTCACGCTACGTCGAGCGATAATATAATCCATAATTTGAATTTTCAATGATGAATAGAGAGCAAATTGCAGTCTTATATAATGCCGCATATAAATATATGTAATTCTTTAAAATAAAAAATAATATCCAAAAAAATTTTGGATATTATTTTTTATTTTAAAGAATTACATATATTTATATGCGACATTATATAAAAATATCCAAAAAAAATTTTGATTTTTATCGATAAAGAATGAATCGCTCGTAGATCGATCGATCGATTCACGAAGACTCATCAAATGTTTATTTATTATCTTTATTTATCTTTTAATCCTTTAATTTTTCTAGGACAAGTGTCAATTCACTCTTAAGCAGTTGCATAATTTTCTATATCTCAAATAAACCGTGATCTTTCTAATAGATAATTATGTAAATTTAATTTTAATATTTTTTAATATTTCATTATCTATTACAGAATGACATTATAGAGTAATACTTGTAATTTTTTTTAAAATTTTTATTCATTTATATGCAAAGTTTTAATTATTTTATTATTTGACATACAATATTTTATTAATAATAAAAAGAAAAGACATCTGATTCGTGATTGATCAAATGATTTTATATATGAATAAAATATTATTAATTGATATTACATGTAATTGTTTAATGTAAACAATATGTATTTGTAGTTTGACAATTTATAAGTCATTCTTTATATTCAAGTTCAATTTTCATATAATCACAGAGAATGGTATGTAATATAAGTTTTGCTAAATAAAGATATACATGGAACTGTGTACATATTAAAAGCAACTTTCTCATGTAATAAGTGAGAAGAAAAAATATTCTAAAGGAGAAATCCAGTATTATAATTGATTATTAAGGCAATTCATGAACAGCTATTTATAATTGACGTATTCTTTGATTTAAAAGCTTCAATATTGTATGCAAATACTTAACATTTATAATTATGAAGGAATGGAACACAAAGTTTGAGAAATAAAACAATAAGAATCAATAATTTTTGTAAGATATATAAATTAGAATTATTGTAGAATATATAAATTGTAAACGAGCCTAAAAATATATATTTGTATATTATATGTATATTATAAGTGATAATAAATCTATGCATATCTGTGCAAAAATTTAAAATTTTAATTTAAAAATTTTAATTTAAATTTTAAATCTGAATTAATAATTATAATATTTATAATATTTACAATACAATTATAAATATTATAATTATTAATTCAGACATCAAAATGATATAAAGCAATTTAATATAATTGATTTGTTATAGTATTGCTTATGCAGATAACAATAAAGATTAACATTAATTACAAATCAGTCTTATATTATATATATAAACATATATAAGTTACAATTATAAAGTATTTTACACAAAGTGTAATATATATATATACATACACACATATATATATATATATATATATATATATATATATATATATTACACTTTGTGTAAAATACTTTATAATTGTAACTTTATATTTGTCCATTATTCATATAAAATATAATTAAATGTAACATAATATCATATGACAATAGTATAGAATTTCTTTTTGTTAAGTATACACAAAGCAAATAAAAATAATGAAATACTTTTTGCTGTATAAATTCTCATTTCTGCAGAAGAAATATATATATATGATATATATATATATATATATATATATATATATATATATATAATGTATTCTTCTGCTTGAAAAATAAATAAATATAAAGCCATTATACATGTCAAAAATAGCTTTATCTGACTATTGGAAAAAATGCTAGCAAAAAAATTTAAAAACGTTTTACAGAAATTAAATATCAAGAATTTTTGGAATGTTGATAATAAAAAGTTAATAAGTGAAATTCTAGAAAAGATTAACTGCAGTTTTAATTTCTACATTAAATAACAAAATACATGAAATATCGCAATAAAATATCAAAAAAATATTAACAAAATATTACTTGTACGTAATATCATGCAAAATCAACTCCAGAATCTAACAAATCTCGCAACATAAAAGATGCTTTTTTTGGAAGAATTCTGAAAATATAAGAGTTTGTTAGCATTACTCATCTGATATTTCATATACATAAATTTTAAAGAATGATGAAAATACCTAAGAATATGACCGAAATAAAACAGATATCCTGGTACGCTGAATTCTGCATAATTTCGACGAACGCCATTTAAAATTTGTCTAGCTGCTTCTGCAGCAGACATTGTACCGAAGTAACTTGGTATTCTGGAAATTTAAAAATTTTAAGAAATTTAAAATTAAGAAAATAAAAAATAAAAATTACATAATATACAAGAACAATAAAAATTAAATATACAATTTATAAACGTTTGTTACCTGAAACGTATATCTTTTGCAGCTTCCCTTCCAACAATAAATGGATAAACATGAACTAATGAAACAATGATATTACTGTTTAAATGTCTCAATTCCATATGTAAAGACTCAGCTAATCCTTGTACTGCAAATTGAGCAGTGGATAAGGGAACTCTGGTTCCACGACCACTCGATCCATTGGAAAGACCAGCGACAGAAGACAAGAGTATGATGTGACCCTTACCAGCATGTCGCATACATGGTAAAACTGAATCCAATAACTACAAAAATAATATTAATAAATACATCTACTTCTGCAAAATTTGTATATCAAAATGCACATCAAAAAAACATTTACCCAAAAATGACTAATGACTGATAAATCCATAGTATCCCTTATTTCTGATGATGCTTGAACTAATGTGCGTGGACTGGGCAAACCACAGCAATGAAAGAGCATTGTAATGTCTCCCAATTCATTCTTAATAAGGTTTACAGTTCGAGCAACCTATTTGATATCAGCATATAATAACAATGTTAATACAAATGAATTAATATGCTTCAAACTAGAAAGATCAATTGTGACTTAAAAATAGAAACATACTGCTTCCTTGTCCCTCACATCACACTGATAACTTTTACATATTCCATGTATCTGACGAGCATTTTGTACAGTGGCAACACAAGTTTGAACATCAATATCTATACAGGCGACCACAACACCAAACTGACATAACTGTAAAGCAAGTTCTCTACCTACTCCACGTCCTGCACCTACAATCTAAATTATAACATATGTCAGTAAATATAAATACAAAATATAAATTTATCTTAGTTAATTATATATTAATAATTATATATCCACAATATTACCACAGCAATTTCAAAATTAAGATTCTTCAAAGATGGTGGTCTAAACATTCTATAGACTGCAATCAGAATCGTGCAACATATTCCAACGACAAGCATCATGATGTCTAATGCTAGAACGCATAGTGAATATATTCTGAGGAACATCTCCGGCCGAATATTTCTCTGAAAAGAATAAAGAATGTTGTATAAAATCATTTTCATTGTACTGATTTTTAACAAAATAAAAAAAAAGATTTTATAAAACAAGTGTACTCTAATTTCATCTTAATAACACAGATCATTCTACATATATTATCTTGTTAGAATTATTTATTAAATTTAATGATAAAATATGATAAAATATTTTTCATAAATTGCAACAATAAATTATATACCTTATATGTATATATATGTACATATATCAGGTGGTGCCACAAACTTTACTGATAATACGTATCGCTGAAAATGCCAGAACAGCATCCAATTTCTCGCGTTAACGTTATCTGAAATTTCAATTAAGTCGAAAACAGTTTAAGCGAAATATATTTTTGATTAATCGAGCTAAGTCGAATAAACGTAACTCACATCTTCTTCAAAACTTTAAAGTTATTTAGAACTTTCGTTGCAGTCCTCTAAGAAATATTTAATAAAGCATGTTTGATTTTCTTACAATCATCGAGTAAAATTACACAATACATATATTTGATAAGATACACGTGTACGGACATCTGATTACTAGGTTATCGCGAATTTTTTTTATTAATCATATCAACACATGATAGCGTTGTATGCATAGATATATAAAATGAAGACTGAGACACAACCAGAAATTGTGTACATTGGGTCTGTTCTTTTCAGCTGCACTGCTGCACTAGTGCAATTAGTTAGAGTGAAAAAAAGTATGTTTGTCTCTTTCTAACTTATTGCACTAGTGAAGCAGTGTAGCTGAAAAGAACAGACCCATTATATATTACCCTCTGAGAACATTCATGGACATTGGCCGGTATTCATAGTCCGATCTTATATTTAAGATCGTCTTAAGTCTGCTTGGAGGTTGACTTAAGACCTCATTCAACCAATCAAATAGCTGCGTAGCATTTCAAGCTCGAACTTAAGACGATCTCAAATATAAGATCGGACTATGAATACCGGCCATTGGCTTTGTAGTTCATGTCCACATTTTCAATGTCCATAGAGGGAGTATCGCTTTCAGGAATCATCTAAAAGCAGACCATGATACCTCTCAATCTTCTCCATCCACATATAGAATGGACTGCTGATGAAAGGGAAGCGGAGCCGCACGAGTAGAGTGAGAGGTAGATAATATGGGTCACGTTCCGTCTTTTTCTAATAAAGCCTGATTGGTTGGTAATATTGCTGATTTTTTATCAACCAATCAGGCTTTATTAGAAAGAGACGGAACGTGACCTCATATCATAGACTTATATAATAGACTGGCCCCTACCGTAAAGGTGCAATTTCATTGACGCTAGAAACCAGCGGCAAATTAAAATCACTAGACTTTCTCTAGATATGGCGTCAATAAAATAAAGTTCAACAGTTTCAACTTTTTCAGTGTGTAAAGCGGCCTTTTCATTGACGCTACTTTTTAGCGTCAATGAAATTGCACCTTAACAGTTGGCAGCCCTACGAAATAGGCTGTGCAGCACTGCGCGTATATAAAATAAATTTGAAATCGCTTCTAGCCTAACCATCTTCACGCGATCGACTTTATTTGAATTGCACGGCATCGCATCGAATTATGATGCGGCGCCGATTTATTCGAACGTAATTCGGGACATCGCGATGCTGTATAAGCGTCGAATGAGCACGAATTGTCACGCAAATATAATAAATCACATCTACTCACCGTTCACCGGCTGTTCCACAGGCCGTTCCACTCTCTCGCCTCGGGACGTCCCATTCCGATCTTGATGCACACGATATTATCAACGCGAACGCGCGACACTTTATTCGGCACTCCCGATATTCGCTCGCATCCGATAATCATCATCAAGGGCGCAAATAACGCGACGCGACTTCGCTCCATCTTCGCGATCGCGCTATCACTGAACTGTGAAAAATAGCTGTCGCGCACTTTCACCGACATATTATGAAAGTTGTGCGATCATCCTTGGACACTTTCGACGCTCTTTCACTCGCGATATTCGTTTAAAAACGGTTAAAAGACGCGAAAAATGCGGACGTACGACGATCCGTGTAACTGCGTATGACTCCGATTCACGTATGACGCGTATGACGTAGCAGTGACGCGCTAACATGGCGGCCGAACCAGTGCGCATTCGTTTCTGCACACTGGTTCGGCCGCCATGTTAGCGCGTCACTGCTACGTCATACGCGTCATACGTGAATCGGAGTCATACGCAGTTACACGGATCGTCGTACGTCCGCATTTTTCGCGTCTTTTAATCGTTTTTAAACGAATATCGCGAGTGAAAGAGCGTCGAAAGTGTCCAAGGATGATCGCGCAACTTTGGGTGCTTTCCATTTAACGACACAAGTCGACACAAACGTCATTCTATCTTTTTTCAATGAATAACAATAAACAAAGATAGAGTGACACTTGTGTCGATTTGTGTCGCTAAATGGAAAGCACCCTTTCATAATATGTCAGTGAAAGTGCGCGACAGCTATTTTTCACAGTTCAATGATAGCGCGATCGCGAAGATGGAGCGAAGTCGTGTCGCGTTATTTGCGCCCTTGATGATGATTATCGGATGCGACCGAATATCGGGAGTGCCGAATAAAGTGTCGCGCGTTCGCGTTGATGATATCGTGTGCATCAAGATCGGAATGGGATGTCCCGAGGCGAGAGAGTGGAACGGCCTGTGGAACAGCCGGTGAACGGTGAGTAGATGTGATTTATCATATTTGCGTGACAATTCGTGCTCATTCGACGCTTATACAGCATCGCGATGTCCCGAATTACGTTCGAACAAATCGGCGCCGCATCATAATTCGATGCGATGCCGTGCAATTCAAATAAAGTCGATCGCGTGAAGATGGCTAGAAGCGATTTCAAATTTATTTTATATACGCGCAGTGCTGCACAGCCTATCTCGTAGGGCTGCCAACTGTTAAGATGCGGCCTCATTGACGCTAAAAAGTAGCGTCAACCATTGGTTGAACAATGAAGCAACTATACTTACCTCTTTGTTCAACCAATGGTTGACGCTACTTTTTAGCGTCAATGAGGCCGCACCTTTACACACTGAAAAAGTTGAAACTGTTTGAACTTTATTTTATTGACGCCATATCTAGAGAAAGTCTAGTGATTTTAATTTGCCGCTAGTTTCTAGCGTCAATGAAATTGCACCTTAAGAGGCAGCGTTGAAAGATCTAAAGGACAGAGAGATGATTCCGGGTATCTTTGTCCTTCTCTATCCTTCCTATCTCTATCCTTCTCTTTTGTCTCGTGGTGGGGACACTGATGGGATGAAAGTAAAAACGAAGCGAGCATATACACACTGCTTTCCCCTCAACTCCTACAGTTACATTTGATTTGATCCAATATTATCAAGTCTAATAGGTGAGTCTTTGACATCTTGATAAAGTCGCATTATCTGACATGAATTTAAAAAAAGTATTACATCTATTATGTTTCGCACGGCATAAAAATATTCGAAACAAAAATCGCAATAAAATGCACAATATTTGAGAAAAAGCGGCGGCAAGAAACGACAAGTTGAATATGTATGACGAAAAAATCATTTTACAATGGATTTAATAACTCATTTTTTATGCATAATTGAACATATATATGTGTATTTTATTTTAATTATATAAAAATAACTGTAAACGAGTTATAAGAAATATCAAAAGAGTAGAACTATAAATATTAAAAGAATATTTTGATAATAATTTTATTTTTAGCAGAGCAATTTTATTTTTTATCTCTCATTAATGTTATATTTTAGACAAAAAATATTTTGCAAATAATTTTTTTTTTATTCTGATGAAAAAAATTTGATATCTCGTATGTCTCTTCCTTTCGTTTTTATTCTTTTTCCTCCGCGTTATTTATATGTCGGCGCTTGCGCGAGTTGCGCCTGCGCGTAGTCGCATAGGTTATATCGCCTCTAATTCTCTACGGGAGGAAGGCAAATTTTGCGCTTCTGTCAAATTGTCGAAACTTATCAAAAATGTGGTATGAGATAATTCCATCGATGATTATTATAGGCTTAGTACCGATTGTGCCTCAACTTGGAGCCTACTATATAAATCATTTTTTTTTGGGAAATGTGAGTATCCGAGTTTTATGTAACTTAACCTTTCAATGTACAAATTTATTTCATAAAGATTGAAAAATAATAGATAACTTTTTTGAACGTTAAATACTATGAAAACAAATCTCATGTTAAATGTTTAAAAAACATACCTAGCAACAGTAATGTTTAGCTTGTAGAATTTAAGAAATTTATCGAATGGTGAACTCGATATGTCTGTTGAACAGAAAATTTGCTGAGATTTAATTTCAATTTTATTATTGTTCTGTTTTCTTTATGCAAATACTTTGCTGTCTTTCATTTTGACATCAAACAAACAAAATTAAACAAACAAAATACATAAAAAATTACATCTCAGAAAATAATACATAATATCAAATAGATCTGAATAAAATTATAATAGTAATCCTGGTTTCCTCTTTTTAGGGGATGCGTAGGGATATGAGTGATATATGGGATCGCCACATGTTTACAAGAGATAGTCGCATTGATGGAGCTCCATGGTTGAACAGGGTAATTTGTCAATTATTATATTTATAAAGTAAACAATTAGTATGTTTATATCATTAACTTGAAAGAATTTATAAATGTGAGTATATTCATATTTATAATTGCTCTTTCGCAGGGACTAGAGAATATTCCTGATGATTAAGAGTACAAATAATAAATTAATATATTGTCGCAGTAATGGTACAGTAGATCAGATGTAAGTTAAATGGGAAATATGTGTTAAGCTATCATTCAATTGTAATTTATACATATAATAATTAAAATGTATATATGAATATATTATAAAAATATATCTCATTTTTTTATTTTTAGTTGTATGTAAAAACTGAACCATAGTTCGGTGCATAATTTACTACATTAACTAGACATTTAGAAGAAATTAAATAAAATTGCTTCAAATCATTTTTTATTATAGGATATTTTATGTAATATTGAAGTTATTATTTGTGAAATTAGAAGGCAATAGTTTATCACATATAATCTAATCTATTATTAAAGTTTTGTCAAAAATAATTGAATTTCATATTTTGTTTATTTATATTTAAAATTTAATCTATAAATTGAATATAAATATAAATAATAATTACATCTTGAAACTTGAGCAATAATAATCAAAGACAAATTCAAGTAAAATTAAGTAGTCCGTTGATAAAATTTTATATCTTGATGAACACACACACACACATTAGCATTCATTCAAAATGTAGTGATTTATATTTTAATAATTCAACACAAGTCGTAATAATAAATTCTGGTTGGTAAAATCAATGAATTAAAATTTCATTCCACAAGAAGATGTAAGAATCGGAATAGATTAATTTTTAATACAGGTAATATCAAATCCACAAATCCTTATTAAATAAATTATCCCAATTCCAAGAAAATTTTTTTAATTAAGCATTTTGCGAATACATGTTATATGCGATATTGATAAGATAAGAGCGTAAATATCGTGGTAACTCCGTTCCTCTTAAGTCTTAAGTATGACATTCTCAGAAAATCAATAGTTACGGTATACTCGCCTGGTAATGTTACTTAGT